TGAAGGTCAAGAATCTGAACTTTCTCACTCATATTTCCACATTACAAGTTACTCTGTCAGCACACAACCCTTTCCATGCCCTTCCCTGTGATAAAGTCTTTGAGCTATCCCACTGAGTGAATAGTTTTCAACAACCCGAAATCAGAAAACTATGTGAAATATGTTGTATGTGCTTTTTGCTCTCCAAGTAAAGTTACACCTTACCAGCTTACTCCTATTACACCAAGCCATCACTACATACGCAAATGCTTTGTAGATATTAGAGCTGAACAAAAACATAAAAATGAGGAAGAAAATACTCCATTCTCATCTCCAGTTCCAAGTCTAGATGTAGTACATTAAAAAACAGATCAACTTTGGCAGTCAAAATGAAAACATATTGAGTCATGAATGTTTTATTTGGTGACAGGGGCCATGTAGAAAGAGAACATAAGGGATTCTTCTGCTGGCAATAGCTATAGGTATTTTATGTTCCTATGCTCAGAGCTCCTTCTCACTTCAAAAATAAAACTTTCATTTTGGAAGGTTCTCACTGGCCTTTTTCAAAAGTATGAACACTTATTTAACAATAACAACAACAAAAATACAAAAATTGGCAACTCTAAAGTCACTGAGAATAGAGGAAACTTGATTTTGACTGGTAACATAATTGAGCAGTTTTTATTACTTTTATTTGTCACTCCGAGCAATAATATGTTGTCATGTAATGTCTCCTCAAACTCTTAGACTGTGAGCCTCAGAGAAGAATTTTTTTTTCAAAATTCTTGCAACTGACATGCTTACTTCAAAATATTTCTGAACAGTCATTGAATTAAACTTTACCCTTTATCAATCTGCTACATGAAGTATATCAATATAAAATTGTTAGAATCATTGTTCTCAAGAAATTTACCATGTAGTTTGATCAATAACAACATATAGGAAATGTTCAGGAAAGAAGAGAGAACAGAACATACTAATGTACTCATTGTACTCACTGCATTTGCCAGTTTAAAATACAAGGAATTTTAGGAAATGCTGAATATTTTTGCCTATCATAAGATTAAAAATGTCTAAATCAGTTGCAAAAGTCAGCAAGACAGAATGTTAGAAATAAAATGATAAGTGTTTTATTTCACATAAAAAATGGAGGTCATGATTGTTATTAATTTTTCGTTAAAGCCTACTTATTGGGGTTTTCCATTGGCACTGTATTAGTGAGACCTGTGATTTGGCTGCCTTGATATCTCAGTTCTATGCAACTCAGCTCCATGTCCTTCCTTCCTAAATTCAGAGTATTTCTACATGTCCCTCTTTCCAATTCCTGTTGTGCAAAGAATCCTTAATCTTAAACCCATTTCTCTTGTCTTCTAATTTCTTGAGGAAAATATTCACTTGTTCCTGCAGGAGGCCCATTTTTTTCCTAATGCCCTTTCCTATAAATGCAAATACTAAGTGCATAAAGACAATTTTCCTTATATTCTCACAATTCCTCTACTTAACTTTTGTCTCTTCTTGTTTATCATAACCATTATCTGGATTACTGAAAGAGCTCTTAGTATCCCTCCTTCTAATGAGAATAGCAAATAGTACTATTACTACTTCTACTAATACTTTCCATGTTCCAGAAACATACACTAAACCCCAACATTATTCCCATATTGCAGAGGATAAAACTCAGCATGCAGAAAGGGTAAATCGCTTTCTTTTGTAACCCAGCTCTGTCAGATTTCAAAATCTATGTTCTTTCTGTTATCCCATAAAGCTTTAAATCATGTCCACCTTAATTCTGTTCTTCATATTACAACCAAAGTAATATATATATATAAAATGCAAAGCTGATTGAATCATACTCCTAATTGAAGCTCTTGAAGACCAAATTCCTGAGACTGTTTTACAAGTCTCCCAAGACATGGCCTTCCAGCTTCATTCCTCCCCACTCACTGTCCCCAGTTATACTCTAGTTATATCAAGAGACTTGTGGTCTCTTGTACTAAACAAGTGGTTTTATGTCCCATTTTTCTGCTCAGACATTTTCCTCTGATCAGAATACCTTTTCCTTCTTTACTCATCCATCAAGGTATCCATCGTTACAGAAAGCTTCCCAGAACTGTCCATGCAGACTAATAGCCCACAGCTGGGCTTTCATGCTGCCCTGAGAGTACCTCTGACCTGACATTTGCTATGTTATATTGAAGTAGTCTATTTGTGTATGTTTCCCCCCAACTAACCTAGAAGTTCTTTGAGGAAAAGGATAATAAAGTTTTTCATCTTGTACCCACCTTGTTCCCACCACAGTGAACAGTGTCTGGCATAAGGTAATCGCATAGTACTGTTAGGGGTCTGAAAGGGACATAGACACTGAAACCACCTCCCAGCCCCACTGCCATTTCTGGAGCCTGGAACCAATGTGTCTACATTCTAAACCTTTGGGATCAATGCCATCTGTTTTCTTCCACAGAATACTCCAACTTTTACTGATTGGGTCATGAAGACCAACTACCATATTTACAGATGACCACTTTTATAATTTTTTCTTATAACTACTTTGTCAACATTAAAATTCATACTGATTGTTTTTCATTACTTTTTGGCTTCATGGTTTTCCTTGTTAACAAGAACTAACTCTCAGTCACATTTATCTTATGTCATGCTCTCTTGCAATATTCTCTACCTCAAAAGATAGTAGAACTGATGGTTGCCAGAGGAGAGGAGGATGGGGGGACTGGGTGAAAAAGGTGAAGAAGTACCAAATGGCAGTTACATATTAGTCACAGGGATGCAAAGTACAGCACATGGGATATAGTCAATAATATTGCAATAACTATGTATGGTGCCTGGTGGGTACTGGAAGTATCAGGGGGAACATTGTAAAGTATATGATTGTCTAATCGCTATGTTGTATGCCTGAAATTAATACAAAATAATATTGAATGTAAACTGCAATTGAAAAAATTAAAAAATAAAATAAGAATACTAGTAAATAAAGGTAGAAGAAATGAGCTAATAGTTACTGAGTGGCTAATGCGTACCACATGCTGTGTTAGTCACCTTTATATTTATTGAATATTTCATTTTCTTTTGTCAATAATACTATGACCATTTACTCATCAATATCCCACTTTTTCCCATTAACTAACCCTCTCTCTACTGGCATCTCTAATGTTCTTAATCAAAAATTCTTACAAGGCCATAATTTTCACCCTTGTCACCAATGGAATGCCAGAGTGAATCACTCCATTGGAGGGCATTAGCCTTCTGCCTTCTCTCGACGTTATTCCTTATATTAGGCAAAGCAGGACCGATTCCCATGCTTTCTCTTTTTACTCCTATATAAATGCCTCTTTCTTTTGCTATTAGATTACATTTTTTATTGATATGTTTCTTTCTCCTACTGGTCATGAACCTCTGAAGTGTATGGACCCTGTTTTATTTATATTTTCATAAAATACATATCTCAATAAATGTTTTCAAAATAAAGATATTGTCTTCTTCTAGTTTAAAAGTTTAATTAAGCACAAGAGACCATATATTGTATGAATCTCTATATGAAATATTCAGAATAGAAAAATTTTAGAGACTGAAAGTTGTTTAAGGCTGGTGAAGGAGGTATGAAGAAATAAAAATTGATTAATGGTTTTTTTTAAGTGGTTGAAAATGTAGTGATGGGTGTTCAACCCTATGAATATAATTTTAAAAACACTGAATTATACACTTTAAAAATAATTTTAAAGCTGACCATAGAGTTAGAAAAAAATCAACAATATATTCTTCCTCATATTGTCTTTCCTTATTTTAACAATACTATGAACCTTCTAGAAAGTGGCCATCTTACTCACCTTGGCATTTCCAAGACCTAGCACAGTATTCAGAATCAATTATATGCTCATTACATGAACGAGGGACTTTAGTTCTGAATTTATTACTAGTAAGATAACTATGCCATACTTAGGTTAAACATAATTTTACAGGTTTACTTGGAGAATTATTTCTATGGGAAAAGGTATATTCAAAGCAAAATATAAGCCTACCAGAAACCTCCCAAGACCTTTCCACTAATAAATAAATAAATCCCATGATTTACTTTGCAAGGCACTACCACATTCACATCCCAGTCCCCTCCTAGACAAATATCTGCATTCTCTAGGAACGTTCACATTTTGTATAACTAATCTACTGAGTGTTCCAATCTCCAGGTGTGAAACACTATTCCCGGAAGAAGGGCTTTTGAGGAATGAGGAACATCTTCTTCAAAGTAAATCCTATACTCTTTCAGGATAGCTTTTATTTTCATTATACTTTCAAAGTGTATGGAAAATAAGAGAACAGATCTTTTAAAAACTGTTGAATGAGTCCGCACACTTATATAGACAGACATTTATACAAGCATGTAGTCCTCTTTTGTAAAAATTGCAGTGTCTATCTATTACATAATTAGCCCTGTTTTACTTTCCATGTACTCCATTCTGTTTTTATTCTCGCTGCAATTTTTTTCACTAAAGGTGACTGAAAGAAATCCACTAGTCTCAAATGCTATCTATCAAACAAATGATTTTGAATGAAGATCACTATTCCAGAAATACTTCTGAAAACCCCATAATGATATATTCCTTGTAATTATTTACATGAACAATTATTGAAGCTTCCATCATATAATTTATGTATCAGCACAAGATCTACATACTGACTTCACTTTAAATACTTCATGTATTTCCAAATAATTAGCCCATTCCCCAATATTGTGGTGAAATAAGTCAACAGCATCACTTAGCTACCATGTCAGAGAATTACAGTCACTAGAGTTTATATAGTTATATGTTGAAGGCAAAACAGTAAGATAAAATTGCAAGTTTATCTCTGATTCTCTACTGGCAGGGCAACACTCATTCCATTAGACTAGGGTGTTATTAAAATTATTAAAATCCTCTTATGTAATTTTGAAATATCTGTTTTAAAATGCATGGTTAGGTAGTTTGAAGGTTTCATGTATATAATCTGAAAATCTTCACATAATTACTTACCTCTTCTAGTTGGCATGCTTTGATAACACTCCTATATCTATACTCATCGTAGCAAACACCAAAGATAATGTTTTCTTTAATGGTACCAGGCATGATCCATGAAAACTGAGAGCAGAATGAAATTCTTCCACTGTGCTTAATTTTACCCTCAGAAGGCTCCAGTTCTCCCATAAGCATCATTAGAAGTGAGGTCTAGAAATAAACCCATTGTTATTAAGTTCAATTATTTGATCAAATCACTCTCAGAATGCTCTTGCCTCCAAATGTCATCCTAAATAGAGGTACCTATTCTGATTTTGAAAGATTCTATAGTAATTCATTCAATTCAAAATTTATTAAGCTTTTCCTGTTTTGGGTACATTTGTGAACTAAAAAGTAGAAGACCAAAAATGCAACATAAAATTATTATAATAAATATAACCACTAAAAAAAACACACATCCTTAACCTCTAAAAGTTGGAACGCCCTTGGGCTCATTCCTTGGCAGCTTTCTCTTATCAACATTCTCTCCATTGGAATCTCACCTAGTCCCATATCTTTACACTGCCGGCCTCTACTTCCTTGAAACCAGATTTATCCAAATAACATCTCTGTTTGGATGTCAAATAGGTATTTTAAAGTTAACATTCCAAAATCAATCTGTAACCAAAACCTGTTTCTCCCATAACATTCTCAATAAATGGAACCTTCATCTTTCCAGTTACTCAGTCCAAAAACCCTGGACTCACCCCTGAGTCTTCCGTTTTTCTCAGATGCATGTTCAATCTATCTAATCTGTTGTATCTTTCTTGGAAGTATGTCCTGAATCTGACTATTACTTTGATTACTACCAGGATTAAACCAACACTGTCCCTTGTCTGGATTATTAGCACAGTAGTCTTTTAACTCATCCACCTGCTTTTGCTCTTGTTTTCCTACAATCTTTTCTTAAAGTGATTCTGTCAAAATGTTTTTGCATATCTTTTATTATGATGAATAAAGTACAATATCTTTTCATATGTTAAAGACCACTTCTATTTTCATTTTTGGTGTAATATCTATTCACATATATATTTTTCTAAGGGGCAGTTTGTATGTTTTTTTTTAATTTTAGGATCACTTTATTTAGAGAGAGATTATTACTTTGTGCAATATAAATTGCACATATTTACTTCAGTGTTAACATTTTTTCCTTTTTCTTTCCACGTACACATGGTTTGTTGCTGTTTTTTTTAAATGTGGTTTAATTGATCTTTTATTTTATGGCTTCTGAAATTTCAGTCATAGAAAGACTTTCTTCCTCCATGGCTGTTTTTTTTCCTTTTCCTCTAGGTGTCCTCCAATGTTTTTTAAGCATTCTATCATCTTATCTTTGTACTTATTCTCTGATCTATTTCAAATTCATCAGGCTTGTGATGTGAGATTTGGATACAATCTTTTGTTTGCCCTTCAGGTGGCTGTCCAGTAGTCCAACACCATTTATTGACTAATTCATTTTTCCTCACTGATTTTAGATACTACTTTTATCAAATACTAATTCCTTTATGCATTTGGATCTATTTTTGTAGCTTGAATTCTACTCCACTGGTTCATCTATTTACTTAAGTACCAATAATTCAATTTTTTAAATTATTGAGCCCTTATAATTTAGTATAATGTATCAATATCATTAAATTATATCACTTCAGATTAAAAATACATAAATATATACACCTACATATTTATATATATACACATATATAAGTAAATATTTAATTTATATATTTATACATATATATACATGTATATATATTTATATATCTATAAATATAAAGTTACGAATTTGGGGGTATTTTGAGATATATGGAGTTAAATGAAAACATTAAATATATATAAAAAATACAAAAATTTTCGTAAAACTTTGAAGACACTGTGTTTTATTTAAAAAATAAGAAAAGCAGAAGCTAACAGCTTATTCTCCACATCTAATGTTTTTATAATCAAGCTAAAGCTTAGTACCCGAGTGTGGTCGGGATGAATGATGGAGATTGTGCAGTGTCAGGGGTCATCAGCAAGGCCACAGAACTGTATCAGTTGTGATAGGAACAACAATAGAACTGAAAATCCTCACACCCTGGGGGAGATGTGGCAATGCAGCCTTCAGTACCCAGTGGTGCAAATTCTTATACTAATATCGCTTATTAAAATAATTTAAGGACATTTCCTAAATGAAAGATACTTAATGTAGATTAAAACAAAAAACACACAGTTTTCTAAAAGATATTTAATACATTTGCAGCTCTGATTTGCATCTCTAATTTGATTCCTTCATGTACTTTAAATTTATCTCCTAAAGAGAACAAGTGTTTTACCATTGCCTGGATGATAGCTCATATCCTTGAAGATCACTATAAAGTCTTCTCTTCTCCTGACAATGAGATTTGAGCTTTTAGCTGTTTTTACTTTCCAACTTATGACAAAAAGTTAGGTGGGGTGTGTGTGTTTGGGGTGGGGTGGGGGGGCAGGGAGTCTGACCAGCCCTGAATAAATTAACATTCCTATGTATTTCCTTTAAAAAACTATCTCACTCAATAATTTGTCTCTCAATAAATCATAAGCAAATGTGAGTCCATTCTCCAAAACTCTAATACCAACAAAATGGGGACCTTTTGCTTATGTGGTTACAGAGGTAAAATCTGAGCTATGGTTTTCCTGTACCAGTTCTGAAAAAAATGTATATGCCACAGACTCATAAATATGGATGGTTCTTTTGTTCAATAAAGTTATTGAATGCTCACCATGTATAAGACACTGTGCTGAGTGCTGCCCAAAATTTAAAGATGTAGAAGAAAGAATTACATTATGTTACATTAGTTGAATTATTTATAAGAAATACTAAATGTAAGTATTCCCCTAATACCTATGTAAGAATTTTTCCAAAATATCTTTTTACACTACAGACAAACTAAAAAAAGGAAAGAAGAAATGCATGCCAAATAAGATCTTAATGATGAGGAATAAAAGAGACTACCTTGCCTGATCCAGTAGATCCAGCAATCGCCAACAACTGTCCTCTTTCTATCTGGAAATTGATATCTTTCAGGACGGGAGTACCAAGAAGTGAGAAGTTGCTGAAGAAGAGACTGTTATCACCACTGGAAATATTTCTATTTGTATTATTTTGTTTTGCATTCTCAACTAATTCCCCAAATCCCTGTTAAAAAAAAAAACATAGAAAATAAAAAAGTAGACTTTCCAGATATCTTCTTCAATAGTTATATATCTTATGTATGATGAGTTTTAAAAGCACATGGACCATGATCCATACATTATAGCATATAATTATGTAGCCCATGATCTAGAAACATTTGAAAATTATAATTATAGCATTTAATAAAAACATAGTTTTAATTTCTTACATTATTGCTGACCATTAAATTAAATTAGATATACCTATCTACCTATATAAATATACATATTTATATTACACCTTTTCCTATAGGCTGGATACATAAACATTATTATTTAATCCTCAGCATAATAATAATATATGAGGTAAGATTTTATAATCCCTTTTTTTCAAAACTGTAGACTATGATTCAGAGAGGTTAAGTGAGTAAAGTCACATAACTGGTAGGCCAGAGTTGAATTACAACCCAAACCTGACTTCTACTCTGGAAGGCAGCTATGCTCACCACTATACCACCAATGCAGCACTGACTTCTACTGTGCCATGTTGGTAGTATCTGCCTCTGAAAAGCTCAAATTGTTTTTTTAAGTAGTTATTACTAAACATAAATGTAACAAAATTATCAGATGATTTGAGTAAATCCTATTTACCCAAGAAGGCAATCAATTGTGTCTTACTTAGCTTAGAATAGATTTCAGAAAAGATTTGAAGAATAAGGCATTTTAATTTACTTATTTGATTGCTTAAGGTTCAATAATTTAATAAATTAATATCTAGTAACTATCTGCATTTTAATTGTAAAGTTTACACTTTTTTCTTACTTTATTTATATTGTTGACACTATTACAGATGTCCCCATTTTCACCTCCTTTGCCCACCTCCACCGAGCTCCCGGTTTTCCTTCCCTCCGGCCATCACCACACTGCTGGTCTGTGTCTATGGGCCATGCATGTATGTTCTTTGACTAATCCCTTCACCTTCTTTCATCTAGTCCTCCCTCTCCCTTCCCCTCTGACAGCTGCCAGTTCATTCCACGTGCCTCTGTTTCTATTTTCATCAGTTTATTTTATTCATTAGATTCCATATATAAGTGAGATCATATGGTATTTGCTTTTCACTGACTGGCTTATTTCACTTACCGTAACAGTCTCCAGGTTGTTCCATGCTGTTGCAAAAGGTAAGATAAAGGAAGCTGACTGGCCTGACAATGAGAACCAACTTCATAAATTCATTTATCTTCTATAAATTGAATACACTGAGAATGCAGCTCCCAAGTTTTGACAAAAATCCATTTAACATATATTCAATAAACGAGAATTAAATCTTTTGCCACTACTTAAACTTATGTTAAAAAGTTATGTCAGCTTAAAAATGTGTCAGAAGAAGACAGTTTTTCAGAATTCTTTTAAATTTGAAGATCACTGCCTTGACCAGTGTGGCTCAGTTAGTTGTGTGTCACAATGCAAAATGAAAGGTTGCCTGTTTAGTTCCCAGTCAGGGCACATGCCTGGGTTGCAGGGTTGGTTCCTGGTTGGGGCACATATGAGAAGCAATCAATCCATGTTTCTCATATTGATGTTCTCTCCCTCTCTTTCTCACTCTCTTTTCATTTCTAATGAATGAATGAATGAATGAATGACCACTGCTTTGAGTTCTTATGATACAGATGGTTAATAGAAGCAGAGCTTTTAAGAAGTAGGCAATTAGCCCTGACCAGTGTGCCTCAGTTGGTTGTACATCTTCCCCCAGATCGAAGAGTCACCAGTTCAACTCCTGGTCACGGCACATGCCTGGACTGCAGGCCCAGTTGCCAGTTGGAGCATGTGAGAGAGGCAACCAAATTGACGCTTCTCTCACACGTTGATGTTTCCCTCTCTTTCCCCCTCCTTTTCCCTCTCTCTAAAAATAATAGAATAACAAAAGTTTCTAAGTAAGCAATTAAGTGTTTATAAATGAGAAAAAGGCATTTGTCATTTCCTTATTCATTTAATTATCAAGTAGATTAAACTTAGTTAGCATCATCTCTGTATTAAAGACAACTTCAAAAATCCTACATGGGAGAATAACATATGAATAATATTACAATGTGCTTAGTGTTACAACTGAAAATCATTCCAAGTCCTTTGGGAGTACATTACAGAGAGCAAGCAACTCAGGCTGGAGCTTGACCAAGTAAATGATATACACACTAGGCTGTAAAGGATGTAAGTCAGATTTCACAAGACCAAGAAATTGCATATGTATTCTAGGAAGATGGATCTGCAAACAAAATGACTAAGGCTTAAAAGAACAAACTATGTCTCATAGGAATGATATATATGGCAAGCTGACAAATGTGCTTGGCATGGTGGGCAGTACAGGATGTTGAGAAGATTGTGTGTGCCATGCTTAGGAGAACTTTTATCCAATAAGACAAGAGGACCGATGGCAGGTTATTGTTAATAATAACTCTGATTTCTGATTACAGAAATGAGACTAATTTCAGGAAATTTAAAAAACATAGAAAAGCAGAAGGAAAAAATAAGAAATTACCTATAGCACTACCACTGAGGAAAAAAGTTGTTTAACCTTTCAACTGATAGCCCTCTTCTCTTACATATAATATAAATGTATATAATACATAAAGTCATATATATAATTTTTACATTAATAAAAATTATATCTAAAGTTTGTGAACTGCTTTTCTGACTTATGATAAATGGTAAATATTTTCATATACCATTAAATATTCTTTTTAAATATGTTTTAGTTATAGGACAGTATCCAAGAGTATGGATAAACTGTATACATGTACTTTGTTATACATGTGGAGCACATGCTTTTTTTTTTTTAGTATAAATTTTGACAAGTGGAATTTCCAAAGAGTCATTAGCATGTTGTCATCAACTGGGCCTGGGCGAGATCACCCACAAAGAGCAGGGAATGCTAGAAGGAGACTTAGGTAGGAACCCAGTGGCCCATCACTATTGAAATGGCTAGCAGAGAAGACTAGAAGTTATGGTCTGAGGATGAAATAATGTGGAAAGAGTGGTTCACTAAAATTTAGTGATAAATTCAAGAAGAAAACAGTTCTAATAGATTGGTGAGGGCAGAATACAGATTGCAGTCAGGAGATATCCATGAAAGGTGAGAAGTGAGAACAAGTTTGACAGCAAAGGGAAGGAAAGTGATAAGTCTTGGAGAATGAGACTGGGTGGAAAAAAAGTCAGAAAAAAAATTTTAACTTGAAAATATTTAAACGTGAGAAGGTGTCAGCTGAAAAGAGATGTTGAAGCTTGTAGAGAGAAAATAATCGTTGGCCTCTGTTCTGAGAAATGAAACAAGGAAGCATTCATCTTTCTCTTAAACACGAAAAAAGAGCAAAGGGATGATTCCAAGTGTGAAGAGAGAAGATAGAAGCATTCACACACAATGATGCCTTCTATTTTCTCTATGTATTGTAGAAGACAAGGCCATGTGATGGGGATGAGCAGATCATAGGACAGATGGTAGGGATGTACATAAAATCGACTAGAATATGTGATTTTTCCAGATAGCACCAAAGCTAATGAACTCAATGTTTTTCACAAAAGGATTCGGCACATTGAAAGAGAAATTGAGAGTGCTCCTGGTAGAAGAACTGAAATGACTGGTCTTGGAATAAGCAGAAGTAAAACCAGGAGAAGTGCAAAACAGAGAATTAAAGAGAATAGAAATTTTGATGAAATTGAATGGCAGTAAATATGGGATTAAGAGACTGAGTGAGCTGAAGGGTTAGGAAATTCTAGACTGAAAAAGAGATTTCAGAGTATGGCACAATGGCCATAGTAGAGTAACTTTAACTGATCACAAAGCTCAGGATACAACCATGAGAAGAAGCTTCTGAAGAACTCACTGTAAAATGTAAGTTCTGAGGATAGTATTGGAAGGATAGCCCATGTGGATGTTGAAGTCTCACAGATGATGGCAGAGGTTTAACAAGCACTGTTATCCTTAGTAAATACTATCAGGAGGTGTCTGGATTTTGATAGGTGAGACACTCAAAAAACTGGAAGGTGAGGGTACAGAAGACAGGAGTCAATATAGCTCAGAGGAAAGCTTGTAGATTGTGACATGTGGGTCCAAAATCCTGTTCGGGTCTTGCCAGGTGTGAGGTGAATCAGGTTCTTTAGCTTTTCTAAGCCTACCTTTCCTTGTCAGTGAAATGGAAATATTACTATTACTTAGGTCATAGGAATGTTATGAGAATTAAATGAGACAACACATATAAAGTGCTTCTTTTAGTGCCTGGCACACAAGGGTTCAAGCATGCTACCTATTTCATTAAAATGAAAGAGAGGGAAAAGGAGGACTTTTGCACCAGAGTAGGGAAACAATTGTCTGAAAGTAGTTGTAAAAATGTCTAATTTACTTTTCCTTCATACCCAGAAGTGCACTTGAAACTCCTAAAAACAAAGAGGTAAAATCAATCTGATCCACACACTTTTCCAAAATTTTGCTATTTGGATAAAGAATTATTCTCTACCCATATCTCAAAACATGAAATAAAGTAAAGATCTGGTGATCAAGTTACTTATATAAATAAAATGAATTTAAGATATTGTGTAATGTGATGAAACAGGGCATTGGTTTCATAACTCCTACCTTTACTCAGCAGATATCAGTGATAAGGAAACAGGAACTCAACAGCACTTCTCAATAGTCAGATATTGCTTTTTAGAAGCTGAAAATCATTGATAATATATTTTCTGACTTGAGAAACAGGAACAGGAAGATTTTTAACAGTGAATGGAAATAAGTTAAAAATCATAGAAAACTATACAGTAGTAAGTCTCATAGATCTTTATGTTAACTGGCATATGTAAAGCACATGGACTGAACTTGAGATATGGTAGCATTTACTGAGGAACCATTCTGTGCACTGAACACTTTACACAAATCTACAAGGTAAATATTAATATTCCCATTTTACAGATGGAGAACCAGACGCTCCCCAAAGTTCAATAACTTGATCTAGATTACAGAGAGAGTAAAGAGCAGAATGAGAATTCAAATTCCCTTCTACCTGGGTCCTAAACCAGTGAGCTAGGTATTACTTTCTAATACATTATGTGAAACAAGTTTATGACTTAGAAAAAAATGAAGAGGTTTCCATATTGTATTTAATATTCCTGGGGCTCTACCTCTTAATCTATAAAATAAGTGGAGTGGTTCACCTTCCAGCTCTACCAGTTCTAACATAATTCTCATTGTCTATTAGTATGAAAACCAGATGCACAAAGAAAGGGCTTACGTATATAGAACAAACAACATTTTTTTAAAATTCTGACCTCATCCCAGGAAGCTGTTACATTCTCCATCACTACTTCTGTAGTTGTTAAGTTATATTCCAATGTCTTAAACTCTTGCTTTTGTAAGAAATCCTGTTTACAAAAAGAGAGTAAAAACATAATGTAGAACCAGAATAACAAGCACTAATGCATTACTACACCTATTTCACACTATAATAGTGCTGTATCTTGTGTTTAGATTTTATGAATCATGTTGGAAATTATTTTTAAATTATTTTATTAAAATAATTAAATTAAAATTAAATTAAAATTAATTAAAATAAAATAAAATAATTTAAAAATAATTTCTAAAGTAAACTTGTCAAGCACTAGGAGTCATTATATTGGATGTACTCTTCAAACCTGTGATATTACATAAATTTGGTTTTATACATTAAATTTTAACATACTTCCTTGTATTATACATGTTAACCTTAGTGAAGAATTTATAAAGCACCTCTGCATTAGCCACCAGTTTGCATCAATTAGGACAGAGAAAAAAACAGTATTTTTATCTTTCTAGCACCCTCCTTATTAGGGACATCATTAGAATCACTTCTCCGAATTAAGTGAAGGTGTGAAGATCTGATATAGCTGATTTTAAGGCATCACACCTTGATTCTAAAAGGATCCTTTTAGAAACTCCAATTCACAGTGTTCTGAGGGAAGACAGGAGCACCAGGAAGACTTAAGTCCATGCTCCTGAAACCTTCATTTTAGGAGGTAATGAAAAAAGCCTAGTCCTTGAGTCACTTTTTCCTTTCTTCTCTATTTTTCTCTCTCTTGTTACCTCTGTTTGTGTTTCTCTTTCTCCAATTTGTTTTCAAGATGTTTCTACATATCTGTGTTCCTGTTCAGTGGCTCTCTCTGTCTTTGTGACACTCTCATTTTCTCATTTCTGTTCTGCAAGACTGTTTCTCTCTCCTCTCTCTCTCTCTCTCTCTCTCTCACACACACACACACACACACAGACACACACACACACACACAGTTGTGATGGGTTAAAAGAAGTAAAATTAGTCCAAGACCAGCTATGGTTTTGAGCTACATTCATCAATTTGTCTAAATTGCAGATGTCAAACTCACATACAAGAGGGGGGACCAAAAAACCCTGAAATTATCTTCCAGAGAGCAGGCCCCTTGTTGTATATGCTTCCCCCTGCTAGGTGAGTGTTCGTGGAACCCATCCGCATCAGTGTACTAACTGGGATTGTGAGAAGCTGCACTCAGCTTCAGTGAATTTTTTTAACACTTTTTCAATGCATTTGCCCATTTCACATCGGTGATTTACCAGCACACCTGTGCACACCATGCTGCGTGCTCAGCAGTTTTTGACCAAAAATGGCATGACCCCCATGCCCTACCCCCCATTCACACGATCTTGCCCTAAGAGACTTTTTTTTTTGTTTGCTCAGATGAAAAAACTCTCAAAGGGGAACATTTTGCAGATGTAGAAGAGGTGAAACAAAAAACAGCAGAAGCACTAAAAGACATCAAAATCGATGAATTTCAGAAACTGTTTTGAGCAGTGGAAAAAATGTCTTGATAGGTACATTGTATCAAATGGAGAATAATTTGAAGGTGACTGAAGTTTAAACTTGTAAGAATAAATACACATTTTTTTATAAATAAATTCCCAGGTTTTAGGGGGTTCCTCCTCATATTTGTAAAATGATAAAATGAAGGAAGGCAGCTGAGCAGCGATTGTGATGAATTGGAGAGGGCAGGCCCTCTCTAACGGAGGAGCTGCCACAGCTGGTGAGAGAAGAGGATTCTGTTTACTATACATTGCAATCCTTGAAAAGAGGCTGAACATATAAGTTATTACATATGTGACATTTCCCAATTTTTATATGCTGGCAACTAATTTAAATTTTTTTAATGTGAAGATGAAATAAAACAGGTCTAGAGGTCAAAATTAGGTCCACGGGCCACCATTTGCAAACTCTGGCCTAGGCTGTATAATGGCAGAACCACTTAAAAGTGGCTCACCTTCACCCTCATTTTTATTTGTGTCACAATAATTTATTTTCAAGGTTAAATTTTTAAATATTATTTTAATCCCTGACCGGGTAGTTCAGTTGGTTGGAACGTTGTTCCATACACCAAAAGGTTGCAGGTTCGACCCCTGGTCAGGGCACATGCCTAGCCTGTAGTTCGACCCCCAGTTAGGGAGCATATGGGATGCAAGCCACAGATGTTTTTCTTTCATATCAATGTCTTTCTCTCTCCCTGCCTCTCTCTTTAAAATCAATACAATGTATCCTTGGGTAAGGACTAAATAAATAGTATTTTAAAAGTATAATAAAACACTCTGATCTACATATGAATTACAAAACTTATAAGCACTACCCTGGCTGATGTGGCTCATAAACCAAATGTCATGGGTTTGATTCCATTAGGGCACATGCCTAGGTGCGGGTTTGGGGCCTCAGTCAGAACATATACCAGAGGCAACAGATCAATGTTTCTCTAGTGCATAGATGTTTCCTTCTTCTCTCTCTCCCTTCCTTCCCCTGTCTCCAAAATCAATAAGCATTCCCTTTGGTAAGGATTAAAAAAATTATAAGTACATACAAATTCATAGTAGTGATTCAATTAGCTTTGTATAAATCGAATCTCTTCACTTGAGGACTTTAGAACTTCTCTTCAGAGCTAGCAGTTACACCGCTGGGATTTTAAGGGAATTAATGTGATATAAAATGCCATTCTTGTCCATTATACTGTCCAAGGAAATACTTGGAAAAGTTTAAGATTAATATTCCTAGTGTGAGCTGGAAAGCTTTTAACTTCCCGGTGAATCTGCCACCATCTTTGTGCACATTTTCCAAGTACATCAGAACTAATTTACTGATTGATTGATTAATTGAATAAAATTCTCCAGAATACAGAAACAATATTTTCTGCAATTTCCTTGACTTGAGAGAATCTCACTGGCAAAGCTTTCATTATTAGGGCTCAACAGACCACATACAGATGTCAAGAGAGGAACTCCTGAGCATCAAACAGGCCAAAGACCAAAAATTTATCTCTAAACAGTTTGCCCACAAGTAAAGTTCTAAACTGTTCTAAAATCATGGTATATAATGTCAACTATGTTACATTACCTGTATTTTGTTTATTGCTCCAATAGCATCATACCATGTTTGTACAGCCCAGGGGAACTGCCGAGTGACTGCCATGCGCAGAACGATGGAGAATGAGATGGTCGTGAATATTTTTCGAAGGATAATTCCTTTGTTCAATGCATAAGGAAGCACAGAAAACACCACCACAAAGAACCCTGAGAAGAAGAAGGCTGAGCTATTCAAGTATCTCACATAGGCTGCCTTCTGGGTCAGTTTTAGTTCTGTTCTATAAAACAAAATAATAAGATTTGGAATGCTTATTTACTGTTAAAATATGAGGCATCTTGGAATGTAAAATCTGAACACAGAATCTCAAGGCTTTGTGACCTTGGGCAAGTTCTTTAACCTCCCTGGGCCTCAGTTACCTTATCTGAAAGAGCAATAGAAATGAATGTACCCACAAAAATTGCAAACATTATTTTTAAACTGTAATTAATAAACTTGATTATTATTACATTATTTTTATATCTTTATCACTTCATTATTGATTAGTGAGACTTTGATAATTTTTTGTTTGCTGGTGTTTTAAGTAATTAAGTGTGGAAATAAGGACAATGTTGCAAGATTTATTTTTTAAAAAAGACAATTCTGCAACTTCCTAATAGGTTCTTGGCACTTTAGAAATTCTAGCTTGGCTTTGGGGGACACCGAAAATAATATACAAGCTACAGAGGAGTGGTTCTCAAATGTTCGCATAGGTAAAAATCACCTGAGAAACTTTTTAAAATGCAAAGTCTCAGGCCCAGCTCTCAGAGATACTGACTGAGTTTGCAGTAGGTTCAAAAAAAAAAAAAGGTACCTGTGCAAAAGATTCTGTTGCATTTAGTTTTTGAAAAACTATGAGTGAGATACTGCGTCCTCCTTGTCTCTCTCATTTTAATATAATCATGTGCAATTATATTACACTTCCAACCTTCTAATCCAAATTAAAAAAGATCTATTTTTTCTTCAGCATATAAAAGAGGTTTACATGCTCCAAAAGGCAGAAAACAGGGAGTGCAGAAGCTGGTGAAAGTAGAGGACACTGCTGCCCTCAACCTGTCTCATTCTTCCTGGACCACAAAAACTTGAATAATTTGTGATACCCCTCTTCAGCTCTTGTAAAGGTAAGAGCAGTGGTGACACAGGTAAGTAGAGGGTCCTGGTGGGAGGGAGCAATAGGTGTGCCTGGCATTTGGGTGGTATTTCCACATGCTTGTATACCTCAGGTTTTCATTCTGAATTGGTAGAATTCAGAGGAAATCTTTCTAAGTTTAAAAAACTGTAACCTTGAGCACTCTGATGAAGAAAATGGAGTTCAACGTGCCCAATCTAGACTGTGATTTACAACCTAATGCCTACTTGTATCAATTTGGCAATGAAGACAGATTATGATTTTGGAATCTCACTGGGGTTTGACTCCTGGCTGTGCCAGTTATAGCTATGCCATCTTAGGTTGTTATTCCCTCTGATGCTATAGAATCCTCATCCACAGAAAAGAAACATAACACTCTCCTTGTGAAGTTGTTTCCAAGCTCAATGACATGACAGCAAGGGACCTGGCATTTGAACCTTACTATGTTGTCTTTAATATTCATCAAAAAAGATTAATATTGGCTTCACTGATATTTAAAAAATGCTAGAAAACACTATTTACAAAAAAAGTTCATACATCTGTCAAAATTGCTGTTGAAATGTATTAGGAACAGTTGAGGAAAATGGAAGAAGTGGTACTACAGGAAAAGATTAATGAGTTCAAGAACATGTATAAGAAGCACCAAGAAAGCAGTACTCTCCATAATAAAGTCACTAACACTCTATGAGTCATAAAAAATTGTATCAGTTTCTTATAAAAAATTTGAAAATTACTTTATTGCCAAAGAACAATAAAGGAGTAGATTATCAGGGAGCTTTGCACAGCCTTTTGCACAGTTTAACAGTGGCTCAGCAAGGTAACCACCCCTTTGAAGTGCATCCCTCTAATCTCTTCCATAACTCTATATTTGCTCTTTTGAATAGAATCAATTCTTGCTTTCCCATATTTACGTCAGCACTTTACAGCCGTTTCAGCTAACAATTTCATGCCAGATTAAGGAACTGGATTATATAAATTACAACCAAACATTTCCTATTAGAATTGGTTGAACAGAAATGCAGAATAGGAAGGATGAATTTCATCTTTTTGAGGAACAGAGAAAAAAAAGTCAAGAAAAGTCAGCAAGAAGAATGATCTGACCAGGAGTTAACTTTGAGGCCTGAGAAAACTTGCCATTCATGCTATGTCTGTTCTTATAGACATACAAGTGACCAAGGAGATAAGTGTGATGGAAAACAGTTGCTAATGAGAAAAACAGCATTAATAAAACAATTCCCCAAGATCTTTAAGGATGTTTCTGGAAAGAAAATAAAATTCCTTTCCTGGATTTGTCTTGAAAGGCATAATAAAAACAGGTGAGCAATAATGTTTGGGAAATAAATATCCTTTTACTCTTTCTATTTACATGGCAAAAGACTTAACATTTCAGCATTTCATTTGTTGTTCCAATCACACACCTGCAGCTCAGTTACCATTACTGACTTCTGGAATCAGCAGCCTGTATTCCTGATAACCCACAGTCACATGATCCAAAAGGGTGCTCTTCTTTTTAGTATATTTTTCCCTGTGAAACTGCCCTATGTTACCCACCCTGAAATATTTGCCCTCTAACAGTATATCTATCCCCACTGAGTCTCCTAGAACCCTTTTTTAATGCTTTGTAGAACATGGAACTTGACGAAAGAGAAATGGTCTCATGCCTACTCTAGTTTATATTTTGCCCAAAATTATCTCAGTAATCTCATCTCAGTCTGCACTGTACTTTTTTGCTGGATATAATCTTTACTAATCAGTAAAAGAAAGGTTATCTGAGGTAAAACAAGACCAGAGATAGGTGCCAAGTACTGATTCTAACTCAGAAGATGGTTTTCATTACTAGAACTGAAATCTCATGTGGAGGGTTTATAGAAATACAATTTATAGATATTACCCTGTGTTATTATTCCTAAGTAGGAAGAATAAACATATTTTAATCAAAGGAAGTTTTTTTCATTTTTTTATTAGCCATGATGCACAGATTAAAATATATATAATAACAGACAATCATTTATTTGGTTCAGAATTATATACTTATCTCTCTAGCAGTTCCATTTAAGGTTTCAATCAGCCTTCAGAGTCATGATGACCATTATTTTAGTTAAATAAATATATTAAGCAGCTATAAACATATATAGATTTTTCATAAGTTATAAAAATACTTTTCTAGTGAAAAATAACACACTTGACAAACTAAAACTACAGCCCATGAAAATGACTTTATGTCACTAATACATGAATATTGTGACAACTTGATACAATTGTTTGATTGTCAGAAACTTCAAATATGAGCTGCAAGTCCACGGTGACCCATTTTTGAAGTATTAACCATTAACTGACCAATGATATTGAAATTATCTAAATGACTTACTTCCTTAGATTTTCAATCATTTTTTCCATTGCTTCCTCCCAGCAGTATGCCTTAACAGACTGGATATTTTCAATCATTTCTGAGGTGATCACAAGTCTTTCATTGATTTTCCCAGCTCTCTGATCTCTGTAAATCAATCAATCAATTAATTTAACAGTAAAAACAAGTCAAATTACCATTAAGAACTGCTCAAGCTCTTAAGAAGCAATATTTCTTTTATTAAACAGGTGAACATTTTATTATCACATAGGTGGTAATAACAATAATAGCTACCATTTAGTAAATGCCTTTTATATGCCAGACATTGTACTAGGTGAATTCCATACACAATCCCTAATCCGTATGGCAGTTTAGAAGTGGTGGTTATTTCTATTTTAAAGATGAAAAACAAGCCCTGGCCAGGTAGCTCAGTTGGTTAAAACATCATCCCAATATATCAAGGTTGTGGGTTTGATCTCTGGTCAGGGCACATACAAGAATCAACCAATGAATGCATAAATAAGTGGAACAACAAAACAATGTTTCCCCCCATCTCTCTTAAATCAATTATTTTTTTAAATAGATGAAAAAACAGAGACTCAGTGGGGTAAAGTCGCTTATCCGGGTCACATAACTAGTAAGTGTGCACACTGGAATCCAAGCCAAGGACCATCTAACTCCAAAATTTGTATACTTTCTTATCATGCTCTAGCTGACAAACTCTAGAAGTCGTCTCTGTAAGCCATGACTGATGTCACTGAGTCTTTCTGTAATAAAACGTAACTAAGGCTCTAGTGTGATGATCCATGAACCAGGGTAGGAAAAGCTTAAACACTCTACCCAAAATCTATGCATCCTTTCCCACTCACATCAAAGTTTATCCATTGTATTTAAATCTTATGATCTATAAAAATGAACTGGATGGTAACATATTTATAAAGAAATTCTACAATCTTACAAGTTAAAAAAATACCCCATTGACATAGAAATTATTATTTGCACCATTAAAGTAATTCCCTGGTTGTGTGTTCGCCACCCAAAGTCAAGTCTCCTGTCCCCATTCGTCCTCCTTTTACCCTCTTCTATCTGCCCCCACCCCCTTTCCCTCTGGCCATCACCATACTGTTATCTGTGTTTATGAGGCTTTTTTTGGGCTTATTCCTTCACCTTTTTCACTGAGACCCCAAGCCTCCTCCCCTCTGACAGCTGTCAATCTGTTCTGTGAATCTACGAGTCCGTTTCTCTTTTGCTTGTTTAGTTTGTTCATTAGATTCCACATGTAAGTGAAAGCATGTGAAATAAATAAATAAATATTCCTTTTTAGAGATACCTAGGAAGTAGATCATGGTTCAGTGTAGAACAGTCTGGTTTTATTAGTGCAGGCTTTTTGAAAACTTAATTCGAAGCTATGTAAATAGAGTGTTACCTGTACTTCATCATCATTCTCCCTAACCCAGCTTGAAAAAGGGCGAGGACTATGAGTACGGCAAGTCCACAGAAGGCAGAGGCCTGTAGCAATTCCCAGAGCAGCCCCATCAGAAGTGTCACTTGTAAAGGAGCAATCCACACAAAGTGTGCCAATGCAAGTCCCTGGAAAAATAAAATCACAGTGAAAACTGGTGATATTTTATCCCCCACCCCCCTCCAAAAACAAACAAACAGAAAGCATAGATGAATTAATCAGGCACAGGGAGTTTATACAAACACTGCATGATTCTGAGAACACTAAAATCTAGGGATTCATTACATAAAACGCATAGCAATGCTCTTAAACCTTCTACACATACACTAGGATTTCCCAAGGAAAAAAATTCAAGTTACTGTATTTTTATGTATCTTTTTCCAATGGAATTGAGATTGAATCTCTTAAGTGTCATGTCAAAAAATTTATTTTAAATAACTTCTTTTTGAAGAAAGCAAGAGCTATGAGAGAACAACTGTCCAGAGCCTACTTTCCACAAAGGCACAACTCTGACGATATATTCAGAATAAATGCATGCTTAATTTAATAGTAATTTATTTAGTGCCTGTTAAAGGCTCATTACTATGTTAAATACTGAAAATGCAAAGATAAATAAAATATGTTATCTGTCCTAAAGGGCCTTGCATTTATTTATGACACAAAATAGCATTGATGAAAAATTGCTGAGTATCATATTGAGCAAAAGTAAGTAAGTGATTTAAAGTATTAAAAGAAAACAAGATGTGAAAGGATTTAATTTTGAAAAATCTCATCAAATACTCAGCAAAATGAGTTCCTTTGACTTGTGTGGATCCATGAGACCCCAATATGACACTTCACTAGACAACTTACCTTTCTCAGTTTTCAAAAATAAAGAAGGTAAGGATGTGTTCTACTTAACCACTTATTACCATTATTTAATCCAGGAAAACCTTCAGGGTTGTATGAGTTAGAACAATATTGCATAAAAGATTAAATCATTAAGTTCATACTTCATCAAATTTGTTCAGGTTGTTGGAAAGAAGACTAACAAGTTGTCCAATACTGATTTTATCTAGAACACGGCTTGACAGCTTTAAAGTCTGAAAGGAAAAATGGGAAGTTAGATGATGTTGACAAACAGAAGACAAATATATCCATAAGTAACATAATAATAGAGCTGAGGAATTAGTTTACTATGCATGTATTTTTAAGTAAAGATAATGAAAATCACTTTATGTTCATGTGGCTTTGAATCTCCTCAGGTCTATAAATTTTGCTCTTCACAACAAATATTATACTAGTACGCCACTAGTTATTTTATGTTTTAAGTATTTTTGCTCCTCCAAAATGGAAATGATATTGTACCTACACATATATTTTTTTTATATAGTATAGAGGGTTTGTTTTGTTTTTATAAAATATAGAACTAAAAGCAGTTTGAAATTAAAACTTTGGCCTTAAATTTTTAATGCAGTCCTATAATAACTCCATTAAGTAAAACTACTGCTAAAGTCAAAGAATATTATAAATAATTGAATAATTAATAATTTTGTGAAAGATCATATTACTAATATAAAATCCTTAAATTTTACAAAGAAATATACATCCATATACACAAAATAGAATTGTTTAGTAGATAAATTCATTATAATTATGAAAGATTACAGTCATACTTTGCCAGCAAAATTTAATAAGTATTGATTTGCCATTAGATGGCTTTGATCTGAGAGTAGCTGTCTGATATTTGTTTTAACTGAATCCTGCACACATGTACTGAGCACTTAGTAGATGTAAATCACTTTATTTAGGCTTCAGGATTATTAAGATTTTTAAAACATAACTAAGTATAATATGATAAATGAGTTAAAAGGAATAGAATATAATAGGGTAGTTAAAAGAAAGTTTATATATCTGGTTACAAAATCTGGAAATATTTTATTAAAGTAAAATTTAAGATGGGTATGGAACAATGAATAGATAAGCACAGATGAAGAAAGAATCAAGGTCATTAATTCCAAAATACTATTAGAGTGATATGAGAGGGGAAAATCCTTTGAGCTGGATCACACATGACCTAGTAACAGACTCAGTCTTAGGTGACTGAATTCTCCACAGGGCTCCATGTTAAGCATAGTAAACATTCAGTGAGTATTTCTTCATTTTCGTTACTTCTATCTTCTTGACATTCAGAGGCAAAGCTTAATTTAGTTTGTACTTAGGTTCATTATTTAAAATATAATTTGAACATGTCACAGTTGCAGATTTGAGAACAAAACAAAATGGTACCCTATTATAAAATTTGGAACATTGTAGAAAGAATCAATGGTTGCCTGCCACACAAATGAAACTGGTCAGCTAAGGTACCAGCTTACTTTACGTTTACTTTAGGAACCAAAACACAGCCACGTGGAGATGCAATTGCATTCTTTGGTGATGATGCCAATGAAGGCCAGCTAGTGTAGCTAGAGAGGTAAAGCAAACTAGGTAAGAACAGATATTCGACAATTAGAAAGACAGATAGAGACAACAGCTTCTAACTTTTCATGAATGTGTTCCAGATCTGAAAGCACCATATATTGCTGTATTTGTGTTAAATTTTATATGTGGACTTATTTACAAACTAACCTGCTCTTTCTTTCATCTCTCCTCCCTGTAACCCAGACCATTTCATGCCTCTCTCTTCCCGTATAACAGTTTCTCTTGCTACATTATTTCAATACTATTTTATTTTCCTCCATATTAGAAAATCATTTACTTCAAGGAATATGATTTATCCATTTTAGAACATTTAAACAAGTTTTTATGCAATGTCCTATATTTTCTTAAGTCTTAGTTTCTTGAAATCTTTTATCCATAGTCTAAGGAGAAACTCAAATGAGACAGCACATCTAAATCTTTTAGATGTTTGTCATCATCATTAGCTATTACTCATGTTATGATAATAAGCACTTTTATAAATAATTTTTAAACTGAATTTTACTTTCTTTAAAATGTTTGTGTTCTGAATAATACCAAATTTCTTTACTTACTAAAGTAAAATTTCTGGATCAATATAAAATTTTTGCTGATTTATCCCCCATGTTTCACTAGTAATTGTGCACTGACGAGACTATAGCTGAGGTGATTTAATTTAACTGTGGGCACCATTTTTCTCTTGTGCCTCCATAAAAGACTCCTTTGAACAATAAAGTATGGTTATCAAGTTTTACAGCACAACTGACCTTGCATAATGCACATTATGGAAGCATTATGGGTTATTTGCTAGAGGGAATTTCAGATCCATGACCCTTATAAACCAAGTATATAAAGTTTTTACATTGGGAGAAGAAAAGAGAGAATAAGGGTAAAGTAGTATCCTAATGATTCAACCAAAATAGCTTTCTATATGGGCTTGGCAAAAAAGTTTGTTTCTGTAAGTGGGCTCCAATAGCACTTAGTTGTGTTAATCTCATTCAAACCAATGCTGTTAGATTGTATTGTGACAGCTATCACAACAGCATGCATTTTAAAAAAATCAAAATTGGTGAATTTTTGTGTAGCTGTTTTAATACCGAAGATGGAAGAAAATACGCAACTTTTTTGGTGTATTATGCTTTGTTATTTCAAGAAAGGTAAAAACACAACTGAAAAACACACAAAAAAAGATTTGTGCAGTGTATGGAGAAGGTGTTATGACTGATCAAAAGTGTCAAAAGTGGTTTGCAAAGTTTTGAGTTAGAGATTTCTCATTGGACAATGCTCCCTGGTTGGACAGACCAGTTGAAGTTGATAGCAACCTAATTGAGACATTAAGTGAGAACAATCAATGTTCTACCACACAGGAGATAGCCGACATACTCAAAATATCCAGATCAATAAAGTTATTGGTGAAAGTGAAAAATGTGTCTTTTATTTTACAGAAAAAACTAAATGGACTTTTTGGCCAACCCAATACAATGAATGACTTGGTAGATTTAATCAGTCACATTTGATTTAGAATCGGGTTGTTGAGAACACATGTTATTGAAATGATCTTAAATTTTATTTGCAAGGTAGCTAAATCTTAATTTGAATTTACATAAATCATGCTTCAACAACTTGGGTTCTTTTCTGAACAGTATACACAGAAAACCAGAGCAGGTTCTTAAGGTTGCTTAACGTCCTTGTGCTGCTCTAAATTTTTTTTTAATTTGCAAACTTACAGGATGACAAAAATCTAACACAAAATGAAGCAGTAAATAGGTGAATAACACCCCTGTGTCACAACTAGTTAAGGTGAAAACTTTCATTGCTTGGATTATCATTAACAATTACATATATACTATACTCTTATAGTTGTCAAGGAAAATTAGAAACACTTATTGCTGTAATTTATCTAACAGCCTTAAGAAACTGATTTCAGCATTTATCCCTAATTTGTACCAGCATAGCATTTACAACATGATGCCACTCAAGGTACCATGGAGACTGTGCAAGGAAGTATTACCTTCTTATAAATCAAACTAAACATAGCTATCCTCATTTGCATTCCAATGTGATGAAGGCCAAAAATGGCTGGGTGCAGGAGCAGTGTCCTCAGGATAAAGAGAAGGCATAATCCTATGCCTAGGTAAATCGCAATGGAGCGTTCCACCTTGTTATCTGGATCATAGGAGGCTATGATTCTTCCCAGTAAGAGAGGCTGGACAGCTTTAGTGACTTCCTGCAGAAGAGGACAAACAGAGAAATGAAAATTTATTCTCCTTTTATAAAATACTCCCACAATTTCAACACAGGAAGTTTTATCTTTAAAGGAAAACTTAAAATGGCTACACAAAGAGCCATGCCATATATGAAATTCTTAACATTGTTCTTAATATGTTTGTACTTCAACTCCCTGCCATTGTATCATTATTTTTTCCATGACCTGTCACCTCTACCACAATAGACCCATTTACTGAATTGTTATTCAGTTGCACTTTATAACAAAATAAATGAAATGTGTGTTATTCTCATTTAGATATCTATTCTACACATTATCATTACTGAATTAGTTGTAACTTTGCCTTAACCAAAAGAGGACACACTTATCCCTTGAACAACTATGGTTAGTCCACAAAAACACTGGTAGTATTACTATGATGGTAAACAATGGTAACTGATACCTAGCTTGGTCTAAAAATCATCCCTGTAATAACTGAAATAAACATAGTCTTACATTCTTTTATTAGATTTTATTTATGTATTTATTTATTTACTTATTTACTTTTTTATTTATTTTAGAGAAAGGGGGTTGGAGGAAGAAAGAGAGGGAGAGAAACATAAGTCAGTTGCCTCTAGCAGACACCCCAACCAGAGACCGGTCTGCAATCCTGTCATATATCCTGACCAGGAATCTGACTGGTGGCTGTGAAAGGTGGTTTCGCTTTGTGGGAGCATGCTCAACTAACTGAGCCACGCACCAGTCAGGACAGCCCTACATTCTTGGCATGTGAAAGCTGTGTATATACCATTGCTCAGATTATTTTTAGAAACACAAGAAATTTCCCAATAAGGCACCATATAAACCAGTTAAAGCAGACTGAGGCTTGAATGTAATGATAGGGAATATAAATTTATTTGAAAATTTCATAAAATTTTTGTTAATTTTATCAGACACAAATAAAGATGGGATTCACTTTCTGGTTCACTTAGATAATAGAAGGCAAATACAAATTTTTCAACCAACATGTCAGTGAAATGAGCACTAAATTCAGAGTCATGAAATCCACATTCTTATCCCAGCATGTTACCTATGCTCTTTGTCACCATACTCACTTCCTCTAGACAGTTTCCTCATTGATGAGCTTAGTGGTAGAGCAAGCTGATCTTGAAGGTCCCCTGTAGTGCTAGCATCTCTGATTGTATGATCTGAGTCTAGGGAGTCCCATGGCAGATGTTGAGGATTTCTTGGGCAACTGGCCTGGCCCATATCCTGCCACAACTACAGGTGTGTTTTTCTCAGAGGGATGCAGGTCTGAACAAAGTGAGTTCAGAAGACCATGTGCTTAGAGAACAGCACAAGTGATTGCATTCCTGGCGGGAATATTCTTGAGTCTAAATTTAAATGAACCTCCCAGAGAAAAATTAAAAAGCATGAAAATAACTCCTGGGAGATATATCTGTTCTCTCATGGGATCCTCCAGACCAGAGCTTAAAGTCACTGTAAATGAATCAAAATCCTTTAAACATTTCTGTTCCACCTGCATACTAGGATATGGCCAAATGCTTCTACAGATATTCAAGTCATGAAAGACAGTCCAGGTGAAAGTAGAAAACTTTGTTCAGGTTTGCAATTACAGTACATGAAATAATCCCAAAATAACTTTACCTTAAAAATTATAATTCCAAACCCAAAGCATACTTCTTTCTAATAAAAGTAGAATATCAATTAAAAATTTTTTTAAAGATTTTATTTATTTATTTTTAGACAGGGGAAAGGAGGGAGAGAGGGAAACATCTTGTGGTTGCCTATCGAGTGCCCCCTGCTGGGGACCCGGCCTGCAACCGAGGCATGTGACCCTTTGGTTCATAGGCTGGAGCTCGATCCAGTGAGCTACACCAGCCAGGGTGAAGAACTTCTAAATTGACATTATTGTCTACTGTGTGTAGTCAGTGAAATCATCATCATCATCATCATCTAATTCATTTTAAGTACATTTTATATGTCTTAATATTGGGAATACTAGGACATTATTTGAGAAATATTGAGAAGATGTCTTAGTATTGAGAAATTAATAGCATACCAATAGTTTACAGAACATATGGTTATGTCAATAACAACTGTAAAGGACTACTGTATGATAAAAACTTCAATACTGATAATGTTCTGATAATGTTCAAATAAACTCAAATATAAAGATATTCATTAACTTGGGAAAAAATTCTCCTTCAAAACAATAATTAACACCACAATTAATAAAACTCTAGAAGCATTAACTATAGAGTCAGATACAGACAAACAATAGCAATACTGGAAGTTAGTACAATTAAATAATTTTTCCTGGAGCTTTTTGTTAATATAACTCAAAAAAGAAAACCAACTTATGTGTGACTATAGGAAAAGAGAAATGAAAGTATTATCATTATCAGCATAGAATATGATTGTCCATAGAAAACGTTTTAGTAAATCAAGAGTTTAACAGAGAATTAAAAAATACTTATACTAAGGAAATAGATTATGCCAAGCATAACAATCAATTAAATAAGTATCCCATTTGTAGCAAAAATATAACAAAAATGTACTGTAAATACCAATAATATATATCTAAAAATATATTTTATAATACATTACTAAGATACATTTTTAAAGTCTCACATAAATAAAGAACTTAAAATTTTTCAAAAAAGAAAAATGAATGGTCACAAAGATTACATTTTCCCCCAAGTTATTTTATAAGATTAATGCAATCTTCATCAGAATTCCAAGTTTTTAGAAGTGAACTTTTTGCACCGTAAAAGCAGAGACTGTCTACCTTGGTTCTTAAAGCAACCCCAACACCATGTTCAGTACCTAGCACAGGATATCCACTCAGCATATATATTTGTAGAATCAACAGATAAAATTACTCTAAATTTAAGCTGGAAAAAATGAGAGACTAATTAAAATCATTTGAAAAATAAAAACAATGTGTGAGGAGGTTCACATTACTAAATATCAAATCATATTATACAGCTATAATAATTTGGTATGAGACAGTAATAGACTGATTTATCTGGAAAGTTACAGAACAGGTCCAAGTGCACCTAAAACTTTGATATACAATAAAACATGGCACATTAATTCAGTGGAAAAAGGCAAAATTATACAATAAATAATAGAGAAACAGAATACTCATTTTTAAAATTAAATTTCTTTTTTAGTAATTATTTGTCGATTACAGTTGGCATACAATATTATATTACTTTTAGGTGTACAACCCAGTGATTGAGCATTTATCTAATTTACAAAGTGATCACCCCTCCCCACCAAAATCTAGCACCCACCTGACACCATACATATTCAACATAGAAAATAAAACCTATTTACTGCCACACTGTCTGTAGTTTTAAAGATATGTATGTATGTATACCACGACAAAAACGGACTTTCTTAAAAATGGTATCATGATACCTGTCTGCCTTTGAGTCATGTTTTTAGTATTTTACTTTTGGTATTTTCCTTTAGTATTTTGATTTATTAACTATTACCAGCAATATCTTCACTAAAAATCTAAGCTATATTCTTTTTTTTAAATTTTTTTTTAATTAATTTATTTACTTTTTAAATACATTTGTCTCTGCCTTCCCCCCACCTCTTTCCCTTGCCCCCTCCCACCTTCCCTCCCTCAGCTCTTCCCCTTTGGTTTTGTCCATGAGTCCTTGCTATATGTTCCTTGACTTTCCCCTTCCCTTCCCTTTCCCTGCCCCCCCACTTCCCTCTTGTCTCTGTTGATTTCTTTTCCTTTCAGTGTTGCTGGTCATATTTGCCTTGCTTCTTTGCATTGTTGGTTAGGTTCCGCTTATAGGTGAGATCATATGGTATTTGTCTTTCGCCCCCTGGCTTATTTCGCTTAGCATGATGCTCTCCAGTTCCATCCATGCTGTCGCGAAGTTTAGTACTTCTTTTTTCTTTCTGCTGCGTAGTATTCCATTGTGTATATGTACCATAATTTTTTGATCCAATCATCTACTGATGGGCATTTAGGGTGCTTCCAACACTTGGCTATTGTAAATTGTGCTGCTATGAACATTGGGGTGCATAGGTTCTTTTGTATTGGCGTTTTGGTGTTCTCAGGGTATAGTCCCAGCAGGGGAATCGCTGGATCAAAAGGCAGTTCCATTTTCAGCTTTCTGAGGAAATTCCACACTGCTTTCCATAGTGGCTGCACCAGTCTGCATTCCCACCAACAGTGGACTAGAGTTCCCTTTTCTCCACAGCCTCGCCAGCACCTGTTGTTTGTGGATCTGTTTATGATGGCCATTCTGACCAGCGTGAGGTGGTACCTCATGGTGGTTTTGATCTGCATTTCTCTAATGGCTAGTGATGCAGAGCATCCTTTCAAATGCCTCTGGGCCCTCTGTATCTCCTCCTTAGAAAAGCATCTGCCCAGGTCCTTTGCCCATTTTTTGATTGGATCGTTTGTCTTCTTGGAGTAAAGTCGAGTGAGTTCTTTGTATATCTTGGAGATCAAACCTCTATCTGATGTATCATTAGCAAATATATTTTCCCAAATGGTTGGCTCCCTTTTCATTTTGCTGATGTTTTCTTTAGCCGTGCAGAAGCTTCTTATTTTGATGAGGTCCCACTTGTTTATTCTTTCCTTTATGTCCCTTTAAGCTATATTCTTAATGTTTTATAATAAAATATTCCTGGACCTGCTTATATAGCAGCAATAGTAAGTTAAACCCAGAAGATACAGTAATGGAAGATGTGTTAAAATACTAATTTTAATTTCTGAGGTAATAATATCTAGGTATCATTTTTAAATTTTAGCAAAAATATTTTCCTGTGACCTATGAGAATTAAAGTAAATGCTAATAATATTAATATTTGTGCAGGTAGATAGAGATTCTACTTAAAGATCTAAGAACAGTTAACATTTATAAAGTACTTGCTATGTACCATGATCCACCCTACCTGCTTAACACATTTAATTCTCACAATAACTCTTTTAAATATATGCTATTATCTCCACTTTACAATTAAAGAAACTGTGACAAGGAGAGTTTAAATGATTTTCCCAGTGTCACACAGCTTGTAACTGGTAAAAGTGGGATTTGAACCAGACATTTTGACTCCAAGTCTATTTCTTATTCATAACCCTAAATCAAAATGAAAATGTTAAAACACAACCTGCTGTCTCTCAGCTCATCATCAATGCAAGCATTGAGATTAGTTCAACATCAACCTACCAAATCAAGTTATAAGTTAACATCACTGTAATTTAAGATAAATACCATTTCTCTTGGACCCATATCATAGGCACACAATTTAAAAAGTGGAAGAAATTATAGAGACTATTCACTTTATTGTCACCCCTTGATTTGTACAGTTAAGGAAACTGAAGTCAGAAAAGTGCTTTGATTTGTCCGAAGATAATAAAACAGACTCTGTCATGAAAGCATGACCATACATACTGTTTAGCTACAAGAACTTAAAGATGCACCATGTTCCTACAAGGAATGAGAGAACTGGACAACCTCATACTGAATTTAAGTTGTAAGGACATGATCACAGACAATTCCTAATCTACAAATCAATTGTTTTCTAAATGTCACGTGGAAGAACAGGAGATGCATTTTCCTTAGATAAATTTGTACTGAACATGGCATTGGGTTTCTAGATTAGCCTTTAAAAATACATATAATGTTAAATGCTCTTGAAGCACCTTTCTGTTCATATAGTAATGTTGAAACCTAATCAACCTGTATAACTATATTTATACAGGAAGAGATGGAACATCTCCCCCGATGCAGTCTTGGAAAAGGAACAGCATTCCTTTAGGTACATATTTGCCTTCTCCATGTGCTTCTCTGCGAAAGAGCTGTTTTCTTTTCTTTTTTCTTTTCCTTTTTGTCTTTTGGTATGGATGCATTTTTTTTCTATTGAATCTTGGTGAAATTTTATTCCTAATCATTTTCCCTGTTTTCATTTTTTGCTTGTTTTTTAATTACAGTTTACATGCAATAATATATTATTCTGTATTAGTTGCAAGGAAGTGCTAAAGGAAGATACAGAAGTTAATAGCTAACATTGGGACTTTCCAGAAACCCTTAGCCAACTTTTAGTCTCAGTGGGATTGCTGTCGTTTTCATTCAGGGGCTCCTTGATCATATCTGCCTATTTCTCTTTTCACAACTTTTTCTTCTAACTAGGCATTCTCTTCTTCCACAACCCTGTCAGGCCTTGCTACTCAAAGTGAGGTGCAAGCAGCAAACTGCATCTTCATCTGGGAACTTTTAGAAATGCAGAAATTCAGGGTCTACCTGAAACTTTCTGAATAAGATTCTCCAAGTTAGCTAGATGGGGGGTATTCATTCCTGAATGTAAATGAGAAAATTCAAGTTGGTTCCACTATCCTGCTTTCTGCTGTGAACTTTCTGCAGATTTGCCTGAGGTGACCCAGGAAGAATCCTCAGCCTTCAAGCTTCTAACAACTTGTGTCTCCTGACAAAGTGCAAAGAAACTCAGCAGATCCAAGACTAGTTACTAGAGTCACCATTCTGCTGAGAGCCTAAGTACAACCATTACATATATGGTTATGTAACAAGTATAATTTAATATAATGGAAGGTTCATAGGCTTTGGGGCTAAATGGACCTGCCCATCACTCAAATTTACCATATGCATGACTTTGGGGAAGTTATATAATTCCCCTGATTCTCAGTTTCCTTTTCTGTATAATAACGTCTGATGCATGAATTTATGAGAACAATCAAGTTAAAATAATCTGCATAAAAGCCTTAATGTTGACCTTACCCTGGAACAGATTAGGTACAATAAATATTAAACTATGTCATGTTTATTCTGGGGTTTGTGTACACCAGACCAAAAAATAACTTCAATATAATTTGTGTGTCATCTAAACTTTCACATTTAGGTGAGTGCTTTTGTTCACATGAAACTTCTAGGCTGGTGGATAAATTATTTCACAAGCCAGGCAGAGAATAAAGGGGTTTGATAACTAGGGCTCTCTTCTAGCTTGTATTCCATTGTGCTTATGTTAATTACTAGGCACAGCATGTGACAGAGAACATGACTAGGAAAAATGTTTAGTTTCACCACAACCATAGTCATAACCTAACACTTGTTTGAAGTATCATTTAATTCAATCCAACAATGACTTATTGATAATGTTACATTCTTTTATAATGACTGGTATGAATTGTAGTTTTATACACTAATTCAAATGTATAAAATATAGTCTTTAAAACAATCAATAAAACATATTTTAAAAAATTAAGCAATAGAGCCAGAAACTACTTATAAAATTGTTTTCCAAAGCTTGAGTACTTTCATTGAGAAAAATTGCCTCAAAGATATATTAAAAGATAATTAATTCTTTAGCTATCTTATTTTTATTTATGAACAAAGTATTTTCACCCCCAAACTGTCGCAGGTTTCTATGGGAATAGATTGATGACAGATGATACATGATAGATGATAGATAGATAGATAGATAGATAGATAGATAGATAGATAGATAGTTAGATAATAGATAGTCAAAACCACAAGAATTTTTCCACGAGATTCCTTAGAGTAGCACAAAACATTCTGGACATAAATGCGGTCATTTTTGTCAAGATAAATTTTCAAATATATTTTTCTTGGTGTGTTTGAACTATAGATTTTTACAACAATGCAACTTGTATGGCATCTCTTTGAGAAACACTAGGGCACTGCTAACTCTGCAAAGCATGAAGACTTACATGAATATAGTGCATCCAAATGATACTTCACATCCCAAAGAAAATGTGTGCACAACTTTTCTTTGAAGACTAAATAAGTTTTCAACTTGCCATTACCTTTTCTAGCTTATAAGCAAGGATTCAAAATGAGGCTCCAGTGGTAAAATAATGATCAGAGTCACAGGAATGTCCCAGATGACACTTAAATACCACAAAGCCTAGGTTTTTCAGGCATGGTGCTCTCATCACACTGATAAAGTATAAGAGACTAAGAAAACAAAACTAACTCACTGCCAAATTTTTAAATTTTGTTATTTTTCCTTGAAACAATTCAGCATGCAGGTGTAATTTCAAAATATTATGAACATTCATATATGTAATTGGATGAATTTAAGCTAATAATTGTTGTAGCCATAATAAATTTACAAATGAGATCCTTACCCCTAAATATAATAGGATTCCATAGAACATAAATCTCCAGAAAAAGCATCTCCGAAGGGCATTAATGAGTTTGGGATTTTTCTTTGATGCCAGCTCTCTGTCCCATTCTCTGCAAAGAAATAAACAGTTGAACTAAAAACGTGATTGTGCAAATATTTGAGTTGTTTTATTTCCCTTAACATAGTTTTCTCTATACAAGTACATCCAAGCAGATTAATTAAAGAGGTGAAAATTTGCTGAGACATTCTAACACCAGTGCTCAGTCAGATACCTAACAGAATTCAATGCTCTACCATGTATCAATTTCAGAGAGTTGACCTCATGAAAAGGCCACAATATATTTGTTAAAGAAAGGTTCTGGGCTTCTTAACAGCAATACAAAATGGAGACAAATAAGTATGACTTATGAATACACACTGCTGTGCTTAGAACAAGGTGGAAAATAAACAAATATTTAATGTTTTTGCCCTTCACTTCTTGAGTTTTACCTGTTCAGAATTGTAGTAGATTTTACATAATTTAACTATCAAAGCAAAAACAAGATAAAAAGTCAGATGGAGTTTTCTGTGGCTTAACATTAGAAATACTGGTTAGACTTTGTTTTTAAATATAGGGGTATGAAATAAATATCATCAAACTTTATTTTCAACTACTATAGTTATTCCAAAGTAACACTTAGGAAGATTAAAACAATCAAATTCTATATTTTCTAGTAGGAATATAAATTAAATAATCTGAAAATGGTTGATATATAAATAAATGTTTTGTTTTCTTTTAAATACGATAGATTTATCAGTTGACTATATTTATTTTAAATTATTGTCACTGCTTTCTATTAGTAAATCCCACTTTCTCTTCTCAAAGCAAATAAAATATATCTCTAAATGTTACCTTCAACTTTATTTTTAAACTGTACAGAGATAAAAAGTTTCATGAACCACAAGCAAGAACTAAATAAATAACTAGATAAAGGCCTTGCGTTTGATCAACAGCTATTCTTATAGCCTTCAATCTACTATCATTACAGGTGGTTCTAAGTTACTTCAAAGAAAGAACACACAACTGAGATCTGAGGGAAAGCTTGGCAGTCTTTGATGAACAATGACTTCCCCCAGAAGCTTACTGTCTATAATGCTTAATTACTCTATCCCATCTGTCTGCCTCCTATTCCTTCCTACTCTTTCACTCACACACAGAGAGCTGCCTCCCATCCACATCATTCAGTGACTCACAATAAGGTAAATATGAAGGCAGATTCAGCTTCTCCTTCAAAGGAAGAGTCAGATTAAAAAGCCAAAGAATGGTTTCAAGGTGGAAAGAAGTGTTCAACACTGAAGTCATGTAGGAAGAGATCATTAATATTCAACAATTTAGAGGCCTCTGGTGACCCTGATCAGTGTGGTTTTAGGAACATGGTAGACATGGAAACCATATTTTAGGGAGCTGAGAAGTAAATAAAAGGTGAAGAATGGAAGAGACAAGGAGAACAGAAAAATACTAACTATGAAAAGGAAAGAAGAAGAAAAAAAGAATGGGATAGTGACCTGAGGGAAAGGCAAGGTTGGGGAAATTTTGTTATGGGTGGGAATTGAACAACTTGTAGTCTAAGAGAAGTTAGCAGAGATAGAGGAATTGGTCCTTGATCTTGGAAATGTGAATTTGCTACTCTTACTGGCCTAATTCTTTCATTAAAATCAAGAAAAATAAATGTGAATATCTTACTTTGACTTAAAAATGTCAAAAAATGACTTCAATGAAAATAAATTTCAAGTCTACTCAACTTTATTTTGGTACAGTAATTTATTAGCATGTATGTATGTATTTATTTATTTCCAACTGCCTCTCCCCTCTCCCTTTCATTTGGCATCAGAGTCTGTGCTGCTGGCACAAGACCCCATCTAGCTCATTCATTGACTGTGGTTGGTTCAAGGAGTGAGCATTTGACTCAAGGGTCTCTGGAATTTTTCACATTTGGCCAAAAAGGAAGGGCTCTGTTCTCTGTGGTCTGCTTGGAGGAAGCTCACATGAGGACATAAAACCAACACAAGGCATATGGCACCAGGTGGCATTTGAGTCCCTGGTTCCATTGAGTCTCTAAAGTCAGCTCTCTATCTAAGCTTTCATGCAGTCAGGCACAATGAGCCAATAAATTCCTTCTTTTTATTTACCTAAAATAGTTGATTGGATTTTTTTTTCACTGGCAAGCAAAGGGTTCTAACCAATACTCTTAGAAAAAGGGACTTCTTGCAATGGGAAACACTGTTCCTGGGGAGGCTGGGAACACAGACCTGGGGTTAGAATCAGTTGTTAGCTGGAAAATTATATCAACTCTCTGAGCCTCAGTTTGCTGTTTTGTAAGATGGAGATAATAATGCTTTTGTAAGATGGAGGTAATAATGCTCCTCAGTTACAGTGGGTGAGGAGAGACACTGTACCTGGCATTCAATATGTACTCAAAATTATGAAATTTTTACATTTACTTGCTATTTAATAGCCATTACCTTAAGATTTCATTTATAATCAAGTATTAGAATTTTGCAGGCAAATATACAGGGTCTGGCATGAATAACACCCTTTTTTATTACAAAATCTTTTATTACAAAATTATAAGCATTTAATGTTGTAAGGTAACAACATTATACTCAAGCACAGCATATGACATTTTAGGTAAAATATTCAAATTGCTGTCCATCTTGTGTGAGACATTTATGTACCCTCCCAACCACACTCAAGCAAGCCTTACTTCTGCCAGACCCGGTACATAATTTACTTCATATTGCTGTTATTTCAGCCTTCACAAAATGCACCTAATATTCTTTAAAGACATAACTTCTCAGAACTAAAATACGTATTTTTCAGAAAAAGTCATTTTTCAAGAAAATGCTATTTTTCTTTCCTCTTTCACTGTTTAACTCCTAATTGATCAAGGCTTCAGCAAGAACATAGGTGCTCCTTTTTCTTTATTTTAATCCTCACCTGAGCATGGTATATTATTGATTTTAGAGAGGAAGAGGGGGAGAGAGGGAGGGAGTGGGAGAGGGAGGGTGTGAGGAAGGGAGGAAGGGAGGAAGGGAGGAGGGGGGAAAAGTTCTGGGTGGGAGAGAGACAGAGAGACACATCAATGTGAGAGAGAATCATCAAGGGGATTCCATAAGTGCCCTGACTGGGATGTGAACCCACAACCTAGGTATGTGCCCTGACCAGGAATTGAACCTTCAGCCTTTTGGTGTATGGAATGACACTCCAACCAACTGAACCACCTGGCTAGACATATTCTCCTATTTTAAATATGCTATTTTACAAATTAAGCCCTCTGATATGTCGGTTCTATAAGTAATCAATAATATTAATTTACCTCTGCAATTAATAAACAATGTAACAAACATACCTTTCTAATATTTCAGAGAGATTGTCAGCAGAATCAGCTGAAGGGATTTGGTATATGTCTGACAACTCCAGTCGCTGTCTGTACCCTTTCTTCAAAATTGGTCTAGTCCAGCTAAAATAAAAAGAAGAGGAGATAGCAATATATACTTGATTTGGTCTCTGATATAGACTTGTAATCTGATATCATTTCAATTCTTCTGGCTTGTAGATAAGAGTAGAGACATAAATATGAATAACATAAGTCAACTTATATATAAATACCAGGGTTTCATATCTTACAGGATACATTTGTATAAAATACTAGTACCTCTGAACTAATGTGACTGTTGCTTTGTCAGAAACAATCAAGAATGATGGTAGAATCCTTTCTAGAGGAAAAAAACAAACTGCTAAACATTCTATATTAAAAGTATTCTTCAAACAAAACACAGCCCCAAAATAAGCAGATACTTGGAGTTTATAGCTTTCTATAATTGCTAAAGTCCAGCCTCTACCACTTCAAATATAAAATGATCTGTGAAAGATAAGATAGACTTTCAATCAACACCCTTACTTAATTTTGTTACTGTAGCACATGATACTCAGCACTGAGCAATGAGCTATTTGTTTAATAAACTCTCTATATATGGCAGAGGGGTTAATGAGTAACTTGTATCAATTTGTTTACTTAATTATAACATTTGAATTATTACTTGAGGGTGAGTATCATTACTTTCTTATGTTTTGTCCCCTTATCCCACATCATAAATAACAATTTATGACAGAAACTAGTAAAGCTGGTATGGTAAATAATTAGGCAGGATATCTGTTATTTTCAAGTACATTGGTTCTAACTATTATGGATAAGGCAGAATAATCTTCATGAAGATAAGAAAAACTAAGAAAGAGAAAGAGGAGGGAGGAGGAAGAGAAGAATTATAAAACAAAGAAATCATGTACAAAGAGAAATTTCTTAATGAAATTTGAGTGAAATTTCATTTATTGAAGAAAGGAATTGAACTAGGAAGTAGTGATCTCCAAACATATGCTTTTTCCCTTAGCGTCATTTTCTCCTCAGAGATATCTAAAATTTTGTGTCATTGAGACTTTGATAATATATCAAAGTGCTTGTTAGCCACCCAGAAAATTAATTAGGTCCAGTTTCTTATTTACACTTCCTTGGTCTCCACCTTCAGTTGGCCCCTGCCCTATGTTCCTGATGTCTCTACAACTTGTCCTTCCTTAAAAGTTAACTGAGTTAGGGCCCAATTTGAAGGCTAAGTAATTTCATCAATTATTTCTTGCTAAGATATCAATGAGTGACAATGGTTTAATGTCATTTTTTTCTACTTACTTGCAATATTTGCATATTAACAAGAGACTTAACAAAAAAGGAAGATAATTGGGTTTTGTCTTTATTTTCCAGTCTGATTCACTGGTAATATTTCCCAGAGAACAAGAATGAAAATCGCTGGGAACTGTCTGAATGCAGCAGAAGGAAGCACATGATAATGTGGTACGTACAGTGGCATCATCAAGCAAGTGATGTCACACCCACCTGGCACCACCCCGGTGCCCAGCATAAGCCCTGGAAGTAAACTTGGAAATACAGGTGGCAGTTAGGCTGTAGAAAAATTGGGGACAGCAATTTAGAATATAAACTCCATCTTATTGGTTATGAGCCTTTGTGAACTTAACCCAAAGAGTGAAAAAGTGAAGCAACTATTTACTACTATTAAAAAAAAAAAAAGTATACGTATACAGCATTTTCCAAGGAGTTTTCACAAACACTAGCACATTGTGATTTTAATTTTAAAATCTTGTAAGGTAGAACAAAAAGAGAACATTTTCCTATTTTAAGGATAAAATACTGGAGACTCAGAGATGTTAATTTGTCTGCTACTAAGGCAAAAACTATAGATTTTTACCACATTCATCAAACCTCCTTCCTTTACCATGCTTAACTTTCCCTATTTAGGAAAATTAAGCATGGTGAGTTGTACAAGACAAACAGCTGGGAGTTCAGCCTAGAAGCAGGAAGAAAAGAAGCTGGCAGACTGCAGGCAGTGGTATGGTGTGCTGGCAAATCTTTAACCATCTCTTTTCCAGGAAGAACAAAAAGCAAAGGAAAAAAAGTGACATGTCATTTGCCAATTTCTCTGGTGTAAATAGATACTCCCACTATAACCAATTATAAGCCACCAAATGTGAAGTCATTGAACACATAGTTGGGAAGAGATACACAGTTGCATATCATTATATAGAAAGATTACCATTCAGATACAATGAATGTAAATAACCTCAATAGCATGGATAATAGTAAAATGTAAAATAATTAGGTAGTGAAAACTTTTGAGTTTTTATTGCCTTTGTTTCAATGTAATTTACTTAATTGTAAATTTAGATTACTTAATTTTTATTTTTTTTATTTAATTTATTTTCTTTATTTTTTCAAATACATTTGTCTCTGCCTTCCCCCCACCACCTTCCCCTGCCCCCCCTCAATCCTTCCCCTTTGGTTTCGTCCATGAGACCTTGCTACACGTTCCCTGACCCTCCCATTCCCTTCCTTTTCCCCCCGTCCTGTTGTGCTTAACAACCAGCTTAAAAATGTCCTAAAAATTTAACTATAAGAAATGGCCAACTATAGCAGTTCACTATTGCCAGATGATTGAAAGATTTAGAATAGGGTGATGGCATTAAGGGCAGAAAGAAAAGGGCCTATAGAAAATTTAGTAAAAGGAAAAATATCCATCCTTCAATAAACCATGCATTTTACTGTTTGAATTATTAAAACTTGATACTCAATTTACAAATAAATAGAATTTCACTATCTGTAAATACAACACAAGAAAACATTTTCAGGAAATTTCAAAACAAATCCTTTCATTTCTTTCAAAATATAAAAACATATGTCTTTGGTCCATACCTAAAAGCTGATCACCATTCCTACAAATGAGTCTCCATCTCATTTTAGAGCATGCAATTTGTTGGCCACTTTTATAAAAACTTCCTGTGTTATCTGTGCCCATTTTAATATGATGTTACACTATGATGCCTACTTTTGATTATCAAGAGTTCCATTTCTCAGCATGATCAAACAAAACATATTCAGTAATATTAAAACATTTAACCATTTATAATTATTAGTATAACTTAATATTTTCTGACAGGTTCACCACCGTAAATCTGTATTTGTAATTCTGAAATAGAAACTTGACTTATGGTAAATTATGAGAACTAAAATCAATTAATTTTAACAATTATCAGAGTTATCTTAGCAAAAGAATTTATTCTATGAGGTTAAACCAATAAAAATTGAATGAAATTTCTGCCCCATCAAGGAGCTTTCCATGCCTACCTCAAGCCTGTCTTAGAAATACAAAAACAAAAACAAAACACCAAAATTCCTGGATATCTACAGCGTCTGGCAGAAGTAAGGCCTACTTGAGTGTTGTTGGTAGGGTAATAACATGGGTGCAATAATTTATAGTTTTAATTTGAACATTTCAGCTAAAATATGTGGTGTGCTTGAGTGTGATATTGTTATGTTATAAAATTACATGTTTATGATTATGTAATAAAATATTTTGTAATTAAAAAAGGGGCCATTATTTGTGCTAGACCCTGTATAATTATATACTTTATGAAATATTAGTTACTGTAAAACTTTAGCTACCATGGCTTTTGAATGATCCTGAGTAGGTTAAACATACTTGGACAGAATTTAGGAATACCAAGACAGGAGTTCTACTTCCATATCCCTTCCATTAGAAATGGACACATGCTCAGCTGTTTCATGAAACAAAGCAGGTATACTTGGAATAACCAAAAGCAATAAACTCTATTTCTCCTCCTCCTTCTCGAATTTGCTTCCACCATCTCCAGTGCTCACTTTTAATTGATCTTACCATTCTCCTTCATTCATAGGCAGTATCTACATATTGTCAATAAACATATAAATTGGTTTACTGAGAAACAGTCAGTTTCCAAAGTTCTGGCTATTTCTAACAGACACTAGCTAATCATTAATTATGAGGCAGCAGACAGAGATCCCTAATGTATACAGTGTTTTATAATTTAAAAGTTTCAAACTGACTTTGGAAAAAATTGTAGTACCATAGGTACACTATTCTGTTCACTTAACTATGAGAAGTTTCAGATTTTATAGAGGAAAAATGTTATCACTACATTTAAAAAATATATATGTGCACACACACATATACAAAGATGTAACCGTATTTAATTAGTTTCATTTTTAGGACAAAACTTCCAATTTTTATATAAACTGACTTATAATTCCTTATAATAAAAAGAATTTTCCAATTATACTCACTATTAAAGCCTTGATTTTCATGGAATCTATCCCCTTAAAACCACATAATTAAAGCTTTTAATAATTTTTCTATTTGACATTTGAGTTTTATTAATCCAACAGAGGCCTCTGACATTTTCATCTGCTAAAATTTAAGATGAAGCTCAGATATCAGGTCTGTTTAGTTCAACATGATTTTGTTTGTATAAAATAATCAGGTTTCCACAGTATTTAACATTACTTGTTATTTAACTGGCCAAATAAAATAGCAAATTCAAATCACTGGTTGCATGACACTTCTAAATACTAACAAATTCATACACTCAAAGATTAACCTTTTTATTTTTTGCCTTAAATAATTAATACTGGAGGCTGTGGTTGGTGTGGCTTAGTTGGTTGGACATTGTCCTGTGAAGTGAAAGGTTTCCAGTTTGATTCCCAGTCAGGGCTCATACCTGGGTTGCAGGTTTGGTCCCAGTTGGGACATGTGCAAGAGGTAACCAAACGATCTTTCTCCCTCATATTGGTGTTTTTCTCCCTCTCTTTCTCCCTCCCTTCCCCTCTCTCTAAAAATATATAAATAAAATCTTTTAAAAACTAATTAATACTTGAGTAACTAAGCAGAAATTACTGTAAACCAACTTGTGTAGATAAATTTAAAATACTAGAGGTTATCTCATCATCCAATATATGTACCATGAGATTTAAATAGCAAAAAAAGATCTGGATAGTCCTAGCCAAAGACAATGTTGAAGTTTAGGCCAAGGAAGGAGGGAAAATCTTTAGAACAAAATGTGGTAATAAATACCAAACTTCTG